AGCAGCTGTCCCGTCGAAATCCCGGGGTCAGGATATATGGATCCCTCTGGGTGCTGGGATGTGGGTGGCTGGATCCGGTCGCCCAGCTGGGAGTGGGAGGTGGGAGTGCAACTCAATATTAAGAAGGTGTTCCTAATGTTTGGTTTACTCAGTCTATATGTCAGCCGTAGATGCACATGAACAAATGCAGGAGAAGATACATGTAGTATCCTGATTGATGATAGTAACAGTGGGGGAAAAAACACGAGAAAAGAATGCATGGTGCTGGGGAAAACAAAGTACTCTCCGTTTCAGCAATTTATAGTTGTTGGGTGTGGATGAGTCACTGGACCCACAAGAGACTGGGAATGGTGTCTTACCTGTGTGTATTTTACGTGTTGTCTCAGGGTTTCCCAAACTCGGTCCTCGGGACCCCAAAGGGTGCACGTTTTGTGTTTTTGCCCTAGCGCTACACAGCTGATTCAAATAATCAACAAATCATCAAGCTTTGATCATTTGAGTCAGTTGTGTAGTGTTAAGGCAAAAACCAAAACGTGCACCCCTTGGGGTCCCGAGTTTGGGAAACGCTGTCTTAGGGGTTGTTTGAATGTAAAAGAAAGGAATGATTTTCACATTCTGGTAACAACCTCAGACACTGGGCAACTTAAACCAAACATCACATTTCTCTCATCTGAGTGATACACATGAATGTGCCTCAACATGCAGTTTCATTCACAATAGGTTTAAAGTCTTTGAGTAGTTTAATCCGGTGCATTCCCTATTGTTATTATACCCTCAATACTATTCTGTGGTGTCTGCAGCTGGAGCACATATTTTAAGCTGAGTGAGAGACAGCACAATGGGGCAAGGTGTCCTGCCAAAATAATATTGAGACTGCCGTCTGCAGCACCCTCTGTAGCACTTTGTGGTCGAGGGCGGTGCAGTTGCCATACCAAGCGGTGATGCAGCCAGTCAAGAAACAAAATAATGTACTTTTAGTTTAACTACTCATGTAATGCTTGATGTCAGGGGAAACAAAGTACCTGTTTCAGCAATTAATAGTTGTTGGGTGCATGGTTGGGGTCAATTCCATTTCAATTCCAGTCAATTCAGGAAGTACACTGACATTCCAATTCTCTTCAATGCTTTTCAATGTGGAACATTTGGAATTGGAACTTGGTTTACTTTCTGAATTGACTATAATTGAAATGGAATTGACCCCAACCCTGGTTGGGTGTGGACTGAAGTCACTGGACCCAAAAGAGACTGGGAATGCTGTCTTACCTGTATGTATTTTACGTGTTGTCTTAGAGGTTGTTTGATTGTGTTTGGCTTGAGAAGCTGCTGGTTGATTGTTAAAGAAAGGAACAACCTCAGTATGTTCCTTTGAGGACACTGAGCAAATTTAACCAAACATCACATTTCTCTCATCTGAGTGATACACATGAATGTGCCTCAACATGCAGTTTCATTCACAAAAAAGTCTTCACTATTGTTATTATCCGCTAAATGCTAGGTCTATTCCTTGGCGTCTGCAGCTGGATCACATTTTTTAAGCTGAGTAAGAGACAGCAAAATGGGACAAAGTATCCTGCCAAAATAATATTGAGACTGCTCACGTCCTGTGTCAGGATGTATTTAGATGAGCTGAACACAGCATGATATCAGACTTTTCTTTGCTATACTGGATCCGTGGGACCTCCCTACCCCCATTTAAGTCGAAATTGAAAAGGGTTAAGGTTAGGGTTAGGTAAGGGTTATGGTTAAGGTTAGGGTAGGGGTTAAGGTAAAAGTTTCGGGAATGGGTGTCCCAAGGATCCCAGATAGCACTAACATATATCAGACAGTGGCAAAGAAGAAAAAGGCACCAATCTCATAGCAGCAGAGATTAAGTTATTCTCTAAAGAGTTACTCTCTGAAGAACCATTTTGTTCAAAATCTTTGCCAATTATGTAGGCCTAGTTGTTGTCATTGTTTGAAATGCCACTTTGCATTTAGCAAAAACATGCCATCCTCCTACACAACCAGAATAAAAATAAAACTCAACATGATTTATTACACATGAATACAAGTTTGTTACATGGCAATGTTATAATCATTTTGTGTGCTGCATTGGTGTGCGAATAAATGATGACATTTATGCAATTTATCATACAGTGACAGTAGTTGTAAAGTTCCAAAAATACGGATACAAATACTTTTTGTGCACTCCATGTAAGAGAAATGTTGTGTATACCTACCAATGACTGGTACCTTACTCAATGTAGGCCTATACCTTGTATGTTTACAACGTGTTGTTATTTGCAGGTGGGTTGGGGCGCGTATGGAGACGCCTCTTCTTTCCGAGCGCAGAGCTCCAGCTATATAATATCCGCGCTCACATTCAATCTTTTCAGAATCTGGAATACTACACAACATCCAAAACTGCCTTTGCCACTGAGCTCATCTTCGAGAGTTTTCTACTATCAGGTATTTTTTTTTTAATAATACAACATTTTATAACTATACATCAGCTGTTCTCATACAATAAGGATACACACATATTTGTTAAAATAAGTACATAAATGAAATTGATCTGAAAGAAAAGAAAGCCTATGTTCGTGGAAAATAGGCGACATACTAATTTCTGTAGCTTCTGTAGAGACGATAACTAAACTATAAAGATGTTTATCAGCAGATTCATTGGTTTTAAAGTAGCATGCTGCTGCCGGTAGATCTATTCTTTATCATATCGCAGGTGCCCTGCAAACTCATCTCAAGTATCCTAGGTTAGATGTCTTTCGCTATTCTTTTAAATAGATGTCAATAATATGTTAATTCATACAGCGTGGCCAAGCGAAGTGAAAAATAATTGTTGGTTCGAGAAAAAAAAAAAGAACTTCGATAAGCTTCTATTTCATTCAACATTTCGTGAATTTACTGCCACTGTGCCTTTATATTGTAGTGGGTGTTGGCTGGCTAGACGCCCATGAATCCAGGAGAAAAAAAACCTACGCAAAAACAGTGCTTGTACTGTGAGTCATAAAATGCACATCTTGCAGAGGAATTAACAGAGTGGAAAAGACCTGTAGGTTACAGTTCTCCACGTGATTGCTTAATTGAGTTGCTGTGTCAACATGTTGAATAGAGAATATGGAAAGTTACAAACACTGGCATATGAGGTAGAAAAAATTATAGACAAGGATTTTAACATTGAACAAATAAATCAGTCCATCTCTGTCATGTATCTCTGCATGTTGATGTGTTTTTGCACAATGAGATTGTGAATTTAATAATCTAATGACTGATAATTCATATGAATTTAATTAATGAATTAAATATAGAATCTATTCTTATCACGTTTGTCTCAATCTTACATTACATTATGTGTAAAAGTAGCAACTTTAAACTGTTTAAACTGTTGCTGAGTTGTTGATAAAAGGATCAGTCATCCAAACCATCAGTTTGGGGAGAGAGCTACTGTTCCAAGTTCTCCCATGAGTCACTCAGGGTCAGATGATTCACTCTCTTCTTTGCACCACCACCCTAGATCAACACAGATTTAGGACTCTGGTCAATTGTAGTGCACTATATAGGGATTAGGGTGCCATTTGGGACAAAGCTTAGAGACACAATTCTCAATAAAGGAGTAATAATAGTAAAGTAACAGGTTTCATGTTAAGTCTGATATGAGAGACATAATAAAGACAGGTTGACTGACTTGCATTGTAGGTTGCACACACATGAGTTTATAAATTCAAGCAGACATAACCTTTTTGTTTTAATGATGTGGACTGGAAGACATCCATAGTAAAGAAATACTGTCCAACAAAAGAATGATTGGTCTCCAACAAATATTTGTTTTGCAAACAGACACCTTGATATCTGCTGCCATTACGGTGGGCCATTCAACAGAACACACACCTGTCTTATGTAAGTAATACTGTTCATATGGCCTTTTCTTCGGTGGGCCAACAATAACCTCTGTTTACCTGAAAAGAACATTCACTGAGAATGGGAAGCTTTGCCCTGTGTTGTGTATTAAGGATCCTATAAGGATTCAATGGAACTATATGACATGAAGTCAAACATGAGCTAACCGATTTTACTTGTGACGTACAGTAATTATCCTCATACACATATGACAGCACACCATAGTAGTAGTGTATTATGAAACCTACTTTGGTACATCTACTTCCATTATTGTAACATAGACGCAGGGAGTCAGGAAGCAGGTGCAGTTGGTGAGTTTAATAACAAAGAACATGAATATATACAAAACGAGAGAAGCGTACTGGACATGAAAACAAAACCAATACTGCCTGAATACTAAGGCTACTGAGGGCTAAATAAAGGGAGAGTAATTAAGGTGATGATAAAGTCCAGGTGTGCATAACGATGGGGCTCAGGTGTGCGTAATGATGGTTGCCAGGTGCGCGTAATGTGGGTTGCCAGGACCGGTGGTTAGTAGACCAGCAACATCAGCACTGGAGCGGGAGAGCGGGAGTAGGCGTGACAATTATTAGCACCATAGATTAACCTTTCCCACTACAGACGCTCTCCAGACGGACTCTGATATTACTTGTTCTGATATTGCTCGTTCTGATATTGCTCGTTCTGATATTTTGTACATTTTTGGATTATGTGTGTATTGTTATTATATTGCAAAATATTACTGCACTGTTGGAGCTAGAAACAAGCATTTTGTTGCACCTGCGATAATATTCGCAAATCTGTGTACGCAACCAATAAACTTTGTTTTGATTTAAAGGCCTCCATAACAGGTGATAAAGAGCCATACGTTTCCATCATATCTTTGACATCACTGAGGGTTTTTTGTGTTTGTCAGTGATAATGACAGTCATCTTGTATAGCACTCACCAAACACAGAGAATTAGATCAAGGCGGAAATAGTTAGATGGCTTGTAGAGTAGTGGCTTGAGATAGGGTTTGGTTACTATTACATAATATTGTTGAAGTCCTAAATATGGCAAGCTCAAGTATGAAATGTTACTTTGTTACTCTTCCTCCTCTCCAGAACCATGGTGTTCCATAAGGAATTCCAGACTGCAGGGAAGGAGCCTGGTCTCCAGGTGTGGCGCGTGGAGAAGATGGATCTGAAGCCGGTTCTTAAACAGCTCCACGGGAACTTCTTCACCGGAGACTGCTACGTTCTGCTCTACACCACCGCCGCCCCCTCATACTACATCCACATGTGGCTGGGTGAGAGCGAGAGCTGGTTACCCGACTGATATAGCCTACCACCAGGGTCACTCAGGCTGAGCCTCTAACCACTATCCTATACGTGCAGGAAATGCCCACATAGTGATGAGCGTTATCAAAAGATACATGCCTGTTCACCTGTCCTATCTATTTGATAATTGACTGAAAGGTTCCTCCCTTGTATGTTGTGTATGCTCCGGGGAGAAGTTTCCCCTATGTACAGATCTAGGATCAGCAATCCTAACCTTAACCATTAGTAGGACAAATGCTAAACTGACCCAAGTACAGCACCTAGGGAAAACTTCAACCTACACCGTTCTGTATGTTCATATGGACTTTCCCATTGGTCTTCTTTCTCAACTCCCCTTGTCTCTATTGGCTGATACCACAGGAAGTGAGAGTTCTCAGGATGAGAAAGGTGCGGCGGCCATCTTTACCACCCAGCTGGATGATTTCCTGGGCGGAGGCCCGGTCCAGTTCAGAGAGGTGCAGAACAACGAATCTATCACCTTCCTGGGTTACTTCAAGTCTGGCATCAAGTACAAGGTTAGATATTACAGAATAATATCTTGGAGAGACCGTTTGGCATATCAGCGTAGATCAGGTCGCCATCGAAAAAGAGGTGTCTAACCTCAAGTGTTTCTGGTTAAATAAAGATAACCACGCACACGCTAGCATGAACACTCTACACACACGTATATTGTAATATTGTTGTATGGTGCTATTATACATTTTGTATTGTAGATATGTAGTGGTGTAATAATGTTATATGATGTACTGTTTTACAGTGGGGGAAAAAATTATTTAGTCAGCCACCAATTGTGCAAGTTCTCCCACTTAAAAAGATGAGAGAGGTCTGTAATTTTCATCATAGGTACATGTCAACTATGACAGACAAAATGAGGAAAAGAAATCCAGAAAATCACATTGTAGGATTTTTAATGAATTTATTTGCAAATTATGGTGGAAAATAAGTATTTGGTCAATAACAAAAGTTTCTCAATACTTTGTTATATACCCTTTGTTGGCAATGACACAGGTCAAACGTTTTCTGTAAGTCTTCACAAGGTTTTCACACACTGTTGCTGGTATTTTGGCCCATTCCTCCATGCAGATCTCCTCTAGTGCAGTGATGTTTTGGGGCTGTCGCTGGGCAACACAGACTTTCAACTCCCTCCAAAGATTTTCTATGGGGTTGAGATCTGGAGACTGGCTAGGCCACTCCAGGACCTTGAAATGCTTCTTACGAAGCCACTCCTTCGTTGCCCGGGCGGTGTGTTTGGGATCATTGTCATGCTGAAAGACCCAGCCACGTTTCATCTTCAATGCCCTTGCTGATGGAAGGAGGTTTTCACTCAAAATCTCATGATACATGGCCCCATTCATTCTTTCCTTTACACGGATCAGTCGTCCTGGTCCCTTTGCAGAAAAACAGCCCCAAAGCATGATGTTTCCACCCCCATGCTTCACAGTAGGTATGGTGTTCTTTGGATGCAACTCAGCATTCTTTGAACTCCAAACACGACGAGTTGAGTTTTTACCAAAAAGTTCTATTTTGGTTTCATCTGACCATATGACATTCTCCCAATCCTCTTCTGGATCATCCAAATGCACTCTAGCAAACTTCAGACGGGCCTGGATATGTACTGGCTTAAGCAGGGGGACACGTCTGGCACTGCAGGATTTGAGTCCCTGGCGGCATAGTGTGTTACTGATGGTAGGCTTTGTTACTTTGGTCCCAGCTCTCTGCAGGTCATCCACTAGGTCCCCCGTGTGGTTCTGGGATTTTTTGCTCACCGTTCTTGTGATCATTTTGACCCCACGGGGTGAGATCTTGCGTGGAGCCCCAGATCGAGGGAGATTATCAGTGGTCTTGTATGTCTTCCATTTCCTAATAATTGCTCCCACAGTTGATTTCTTCAAACCAAGCTGCTTACCTATTGCAGATTCAGTCTACCCAGCCTGGTGCAGGTCTACAATTTTGTTTCTGGTGTCCTTTGACAGCTCTTTGGTCTTGGCCATAGTGGAGTTTGGAGTGTGACTGTTTGAGGTTGTGGACAGGTGTCTTTTATACTGATAACAAGTTCAAACAGGTGCCATTAATACAGGTAACGAGTGGAGGACAGAGGAGCCTCTTAAAGAAGAAGTTACAGGTCTGTGAGAGCCAGAAATCTTGCTTGTTTGTAGGTGACCAAATACTTATTTTCCACCATAATTTGCAAATAAATTCATTAAAAATCCTACAATGTGATTTTCTGGATTTTTTTTCTCAATTTGTCTGTCATAGTTGACGTGTACCTATGATGAAAATTACAGGCCTCTCTCATCTTTTTAAGTGGGAGAACTTGCACAATTGGTGGCTGACTAAATACTTTTTTTTTCCACTGTATGTTTTGTTTTATATGTAATGCAAGTGCCTTAATGTGTTTGGACCCCAGGAAGAGTAGCAGCTGCCTTGGCATCAGCTAATGGGGATCCGTAATAAATACAAATACAGTACTGTACATCCTTTTAAAAATGACTGAAGGTCTCGCTGTATTTCGCATGACAACCCCAGTATAGTTTTGGTTTCCCTTTCCAGCACTTAGATGCTTACTCTGTTGTTATAGAGCCCACTACTATACGTATCTGTGTTTGTCAATGACATTGAACCCCAATGCATTGAAGGGAAGGGTCATTATCAGAAAGAATGTGTGTGGGTTTCTCATTATTAGGTTAAGTATTGATAAGTAGAGTAGAGTCCCATTTGAACTTGTTGACTAATGAGATTCAATTTCACAGCTATTAGTATTGATTACCAGCGTCCGGTTAAAGGATGGTCAAAGGTGTATTAATCAATACTCTAGTGAGAACAACCCCAACAGCAACACACCCATCAAAGTATTGAAATACTAATGAGTAATGACACATGTTGCACAGATTTGAAGCTGTACATGCACAAAAGAGGGATTTGCTGAAAAGCTAACTGTGCTATTTATAGTACTGTGTGTCTTTAAGTTTTAGCTTCTACAGTGGATAAAGTTTTCCAAAGAGGGTTGCCATGGAGAGTTTGAAATGGTAGACAGGCTAAGGGAGGATACATCTGGGTATAATTCCAGAAAGCCAAATGGCTGCATGTCTGGCAAGATTTTATATTGACTTCTGGATTGGAAAGTATAGGAAGCATTGGAAGTAAATGTTTACTTACTACTCTGGACAAAGTTACTCACAATGAAGTTGGAGTTTAACATGCAGTATGTAACATATATATATATATATATATATATATATATATATAAACTTCTTATAAACAATGTATTATTGTTAGCTTCGTTAACCTGACACAGTATTTCCATTCTCTGTCCTTCAGCAAGGTGGGGTGGCCTCTGGCTTCCAGCACGTGGTGACCAACGACATGAACGTCAAGCGTCTGCTGCACATCAAGGGCCGCAGGACCATCAGGGCCACAGAGGTAGACATGTCCTGGTCCAGCTTCAACAGAGGAGACTGCTTCATCATTGACCTGGGAAAGGTGAGGCTGGGATAGCGTACCGGTGACTAAGCTAATTGATGATATGTTACTAAGTCTCCTCAACCAGACCCACATGTGTTGAACTTGGCCAATGCTACATAGGGGGATTGTCACATAGGCAGAAACACAATGATTCCACATGCACAATGTTTGCATATGTGTAATGGGGGTGATGACAGCTCCAAAAAAGGAGAGGGTTGTAAAATACCCCAGTTGTTATTTTGTGGATCATGCATGAGCATGCATAAGTAGGGGAGAGTGGGGTAAGTTGAAGTTATTTTTACTTTCAGCATCACTCCGTCAAGGCAAATATAGTATTCTGTCTAACAAAGATATCTACATATATTTCAGGATAGTCTGTATCCCTGGGAATAAACAGAAATCCTGTAAACTTTACCGTCTTGAAAACATAGCTTGTCCAGAAAAAGTGGTCTCTTGGCACAACTTACCCCGGGTATGGGGTTAGTTAAGCCAACTACATATTTCTGTACTGAATGAATTATTACCACTACCTTTTTAAAACCATGTCTAGCTTTTTTCCCAAACACAATTCAATACAATCACAATCGTTTTTTTGTCTTTTAATCATTTTAAGCATATTGTAATACAGACTTAACACCTAACAAACACTTTTAACATAGGCCAGGACCTGTTGTTACCTCATATCCCAGAGATAATGCCTTGCATTACGCCTGGGAAGAAACACTTCAATTTGCTCAACTTGCCATTGGCTCAACGTACCCAAAGGCAAACATTTTTACCAAATTAGCCCACACAGCTACAAGAATGCACTTTCATGCTAGGTTTATTGAAGCTTATAGAGACCCCAACTGATGTATAGAACAATCTTAAAAGTATCTACTTTGGTTTAGATACAAGCATCATGAAACCTCTAACAAAATAATAATTTGAAAATCAGTTTGTTGGACCTAACTTGCTTACCACTTTTTCCATGTGGTTTCTTCCTTCACAGGCTCCATGAAATGATGACCTCTTCCTAAATATTTGGCTAAATGATACATTTTCTGTATGGTTTCCTATAAACAAGGGTGGCTTAACTTACCCCTTTGGCTCAACTTACCCCACTCTCCCCAATGCATAAATAGTAGTTCCTGGGGCCACCCATATGTAAAATGTATGCACGCAAGTCACTTTGGATAAAAGCATCTGCTAAATGGCATATATTATTATATATTGTATTTATATTCAGAGGCAAGAGTCTCTTCCCTTACCCTTAGGCTGAGTCATGGCCATTCAGACAACTTTTGTTTCTATTCTCAGGACATCTTCCAGTGGTGTGGCAGTGAGTGCAACCACTTCGAGCGTCTGAAGGCATCCCAGGTGGCCATCGATGTCCGTGACAACGAGAGGAATGGCCGTGCCACGCTGCAGATGGTTGAGGAGGGAGGAGAGCCACAGGCTGTCATCGACGTGAGTCACTCACACACACACACACAAACAGATGATCGAGGAGGGAGGATAGCCACAGGCTGTCATCGATGTGAGTCACCTTCACCACCACTTCTTGACCCTGTAACATTGGAAGGGTCAGAGAATATTGGGAGAGATGGTTACTGACATCTGGCATTGTTATTCTCTCTGGGCACACTAAGTCATTGCAGTACGACCTTATCTCATTCAAAGCATTTAAAGGGTAAGGAGTTGTTCCTAGTCATGGTGGTCACAAACTCTATACAAGGTATTTTATGCAATGCTGGAACCTTAGATGAGTGCACTGGGACTTCATAGGCAGAGCTGATAAACTTGTCTATGACTTATTTCCCCTTATTGACGACAGGAAGCATTGTTGTGATTGTGTTTATTTTTAGGCTCTAGGGCCCAAACCCAACATCCCTGCAGGAAGCCCTGATGACGAGTCTGTCGATAGATCCAACCAGAAGAAGGGAGCTCTCTACATGGTAAAGATTTGCAGCCTTGTGATGCTCCCAGTCTGACGTGTGTGTGTTGTGTGATGGCGCTGGGTACTGTGACAGCAAAATGATCAATTTCCGTTGTCGCTGTATAATATTGATGAATAAATATGTGTATTGTGTTGTAGATCTCTGATGTGGCAGGCTCCATGAAGGCGTCAGTGGTGGCCCAGACCTGCCCCTTCAAACAAGAAATGCTCTCCCCCAGTGAGTGTTACATTCTGGACAATGGAGTGGACACCAAGATCTTCATCTGGAAAGGACCTAGTGCCAACACAGCTGAACGCAATGCTGCCATGAAGGCCGCAGAGCAGTTCATCAAGGAGAAGAAGTACCCCAGACACACCCAGGTAACGTTATAGCAAACGGCTCCCCCGTCACTACTGCTGCCTTGAATATTCTGAAGTTGTACCCATGTTTGGGAAGTTAGTCTGAAGTGGTAACACCACCAACTCTGGAAGAACACATGTTAATCCCGCCGGTCTGGCATTTTCCATACATAAGGGGAATGGCATTCCATGACAGCAACCACTCCAAATCCCATCAACATCCTCTCAGATCTGTGGATTGATCAAGTCCTTTGATGTCTACTCTACTGTATTCTATAGGTCCAGGTGTTGCCGGGCGGAGGTGAGACCACCCTGTTCAAGCAGTTCTTCTGTAACTGGAAGGATAAGGACCAGACCACGGGCCCAGGCCAGGCCTACAGCTTGGGGCGTATCGCCAGGGTGGCGCAGGTCCCCTTCGACTCCTCCGCCCTGCACACCAACAAGACCATGGCAGCCCAGCACGGCATGGTGGATGACGGATCCGGGAAGGTTCAGGTACGGCTGGAAGATACTAGTGATGACATACGAAGATCTAACTCAGGACTATATCAAACAAGTGGCTGTGAAAGGGAAAGGTAAAGGGGATACCTAGTCAGTTGTACAACTGAATGCATTCAACTGAAATGTATCTACTGCATAGGTACTGGAGGAGAGGTTCGGGAAACACTGATCTAACTCTACTACTCCTGGTGTTTTTAATGTAGAACATGACACACTGGGAGAAGTACACTGAGTGTACAAAACATTATGAACATTGGGTTTTATTTATTAAATGAAAGGCTTGTTGGGTTTCAGTTCTGGTGTCCTGCCACCTCTCTCTGCCAGCTGCCAGGCTATTTCTGCAGGTGGGATGTGGAGCACTCCTGTAACCTGGTTGATTCCCCCCCCCCCCTTCATTTTTACATCACATAAATGTTCATAGATGTAGACTCACTACACTGAGTATACAAAACATTAAGAACACCTTTCCATGACAGACTGACCAGGTGAATCCAGGTGAAAGCTATTATCCCTTATAGATGTCACCTGTTAAATCCACTTAAATCAGTGTAGATGAAGGGGAGGAGACAGGTTAAAGAAGGACGTTTAAGCCTTGAGACAATTGAGACATGGATTGTGTATGTGTGCCATTCAGAGGGTGAATGGGCAAGACAAGATTTAATTGCCTTTGAACGGGGAATGGTAGTAGGTGCCAGGCGCACCGGTTTGTGTCAAGAACTGCAACGCTGCTGGGTTTTTCAGTTTCCCATGTGTATCAAGAATGATCCACCACCCAAAGGACATCCTTGACGAAGCACTAGAGTCAGCATGGGCCAGCATCCCTGTGGAACGCTTTCGACACCTTGTAGAGTCCATGCCCTGACGAATTGAGGCTGTTCTGAGGGCAAAAGTGGGGGTGCAACTCTATATTAGGAAGGTGTTCTTAATGTTTTGTACACTCAGTGTATGTCGTAACATAAAGGCGATGGGTCTCCTCCTCAGGTGTGGCGTGTGGAGGATGGTGACCAGGTGCCAGTGGACCCTTCCAGCTATGGTCAGTTCTATGGAGGTGACTGCTACCTGGTCCTGTACAGCTACCGCCTGGGAGGCAGGGAGCAGCACATCATCTACACCTGGTGAGTGTTGTTCACCATGTCGCCACAAGAGGGAGACATAATCAGGTGTAAGCTATAGGCCTAGCTATGCAGGAGGCAGGAGCACATCCATTCTCTGTGTTTTTCCCTATTCATATCCCTATAAGATTGATTGATTAATTGATTGCAGGCAGGGGCTGAAGTGTACTCAGGATGAGCTGGCTGCCTCCGCCTTCCTGACTGTCAGGCTGGACGACTCCATGGGAGGGTCTCCTGTCCAGGTAAAATACTAATACAGACACTATTCAGAACAGATATATCTGATTTAATCACATCACATATGTAATAAAAAGGGGTTCTCTGTATATCATCGTCTTGACTTAAATGGTTGGACTGGTGAAGGCTCCAGAGGCGCTGCTCTGTGGCTGACCCTGTGCAGGTTCCAGCCTCTTGTGTGTGTGTCGATCCTATTCTATGGTTTGACGGATGTGCTGAAGTGTCTCATCTCCTCCTCTCTCCTCCAGGTGCGGGTGACTCAGGGCCAGGAGCCGGCCCACCTGATGAGTCTGTTCAAGGGGAAGCCCATGGTGATCCACCTGGGGGGGACGTCCCGTAAGGGGGGCCAGAGCAGGGTGGGCTCCACACGCCTCTTCCACATCCGCCAGAGCTCCACCAGGGCCACACGGGCTGTAGAGGTCAGTCAGTCACACAACATATACAAATCAAATGTTATTGGTCGCATACACACACACACTGTCAGGATAAACCTGTATGGGGTGAACGAAGTCAAGCGCAGGACACCGAGAGACTGGCAGATGTACTTTACTAATAAACGTAATGAAAAGTACAAAACAACAAAACCTCCAAAACAGGGAGGAACAATAATCGCAATACACAGTCCTGCCGAAAACAAACTGAGAACAATCACACACAACAAACGAATGACAGACAGGGGTTATAAAGGGAAACCATCAACACTAATGGGAAACAGGTGTACACAAAGCAGACCAATCTAGATGATTGCTGAAACCTAGATCGGTGGCAGCTAGTACTCCGGGGACGACGAACGCCAAAGCCTGCCCGAGCAAGGAGGAGGAGCAGCCTCGGCTAAATCCGTGACAGTACCCCCCCCCCCCCCCCCTTGACGCGCGGCTCCAGCCGTGCGCCGACCCCGGCCTCAGGGACGGCCAGGAGGACGCGGAGCAGGGCGAGTCGGATGACTCCGGTGGAAATCCCTCAGCATGGAGGGGTCTAGGATGTCCCTCCTAGGGACCCAGCACCGTTCCTCCGGACCGTACCCCTCCCACTCCACAGACACTTCTCTGCCTTCACATACAGGTCATGCTCCAACAGTCTACCAAGCACCCAACGCACCAGGGACACATGCTCGGCACGTGTAGCGGAGTATATTAGAATGTCATCAATATACACCACTACACCCTGTCCATGCAAGTCCCGGAAAGTCTCGTCCTCAAACGACTGGAATACTGAAGGAACATTCATTAAACCGTATGGCATGACAAGGTACTCATAGTGACCCGAGGTTGTACTAAATGCTGTCTTGTACTAAATGCATCTCCCTCCCTAATGCGCACCAGGTTGTACGCGCTCCTGAGGTCCAATTTTGTGAAGAATCGCGCCCCGTGTAATGACTCCGTCATACTAGCAATCAGAGGGAGAGGATAGCTGTACTTGATTGTGATCTGATTGAGACCACGGTAATCAATACACGGGCGTAAACCCCCATCCTTCTTCTTCACAAAAAAGAAACTCGATGACACAGGGGAAGTGGATGGCCGTATGTATCCCTGTCCCAGAGATTCGGCGACATATGTCTCCATAGCTGCCGTCTCCTCCTGAGACAGAGGATACACATGACTACGAGGAAGCGCAGCGCCTACTTGGAGGTCTATCGCACAATCCCCCTGTCGATGAGGTGGTAATTGAGTCGCCTTCTTTTTACTGAAGGCGAGCGCCAAATCGGCATATTCAGGTGGAATGTGCATGGGGGGAACTTGGTTCGGACTTTCCACCGTCGTTGCCCCTATGGAAACACCTACACACCGCCCGAAACACTGATCAGACCATCCCTTGAGAGCCCTCTGCTGCCATGAAATGTTGGGGTCATGTGACATTAACCAGGGGAGTCCCAACACCACGGGAAACGCAGGAGAATCCATCAAATACAGACTAATTAACTCCTCATGGCCCTCCTGCGTTTTCATCTTGAGAGGTGCTGTGACTTCCCTAATCAATCCTGACCCCAAAGGACGGCTATCTAGGGCATGGATGGGGAAGGGCACATCAACGGGTACAATAGGAATCCCTAACTTATAGGTGAACTGGCGATCTATAAAATTCCCAGCTGCGCCTGAATCTACTAGCGCCTTATGCCGATGGTGGTGGTATCGTAGGAGGAGGTGTAGGCAGACCCCCTCTTTCCCATCGCTCCATAGTGCTCACCACCCGTTCCATGGTGGTGCCGAGAGCCTGGATCATGGCCGCTTGTTGTTCAACGCGTTCCTCCACTGATCCAGCTGGCACCGCCGCTCCTGCTGACTCCATGGAAGGTGTGTGATTCTGTCAGGATAAACGTGTATGCGGTGAACGAAGTCAAGTGCAGGACACCGAGAGACTGGCAGATGTACTTTACTAATAAACGTAATGAAAAGTACAAAACAACAAAACCTCCAAAACCGGGAGGAACAATAATCGCAATACACAGTCCTGCCGAAAACAAACTGAGAACAATCACACACAACAAACGAATGACAGACAGGGGTTATAAAGGGAAACCATCAACACTAATGGGAAACAGGTGTACACAAAGCAGACCAATCTAGATGATTGCTGAAACCTAGATCGGTGGCAGCTAGTACTCCGGGGACGACGAACGCCGAAGCCTGCCCGAGCAAGGAGGAGGAGCAGCCTCGGCTAAATCCGTGACACACACACACTGAAGGCCTATGTAGGTTTAGGTGATCACACAACATACATAACCTATAGTACTAACCACTGCTATTTTGAATGATCGGGATTGCATTAAATTAGGGCAGAAGTTATGAAGTTACAGAAGGAATATGAGAAAGGAAAAATAGATATTCTGCCAGTTAATACAGTAACTGAAGAGGATTATAGGATATGAGTACCTCACCACTTCTCTCTCTCTCGCTATCTCTCCCTCTCCCCCCTCTCTCCCATCCTCTCCTATCCAGGTGGAGCCCTCTGCTGCGTTCCTGAATACCAATGATGTGTTTGTCCTGAAGTCCCCTAACACTGTGTTCCTGTGGAGGGGAGTGGGGGCCACTGAGGAGGAGCTGGCTGCAGCCCAGTACGTCACCTCTTTCCTGGGAGGAGGAAGTGCCACTGAGGTGTCAGAGGGCAAGGAGCCAGGTGGGTGTTTTAGTCTTACACCTGGTCACTGTCTTAACATAAATAATAATATAATATAATAATATGCCATTTAGCAGACGCTTTTATCCAAAGCGACTTACAGTCATGCGTGCATACATTTTTTTTTGTGTATGGGTAACATAACATGTTTTAGTGATGATAGGATTCATTTACATTAGGTTTTTATCTTTTAAATACATTTATTGTAACACTTTTATTAACAAATAATACATGTGAACAGTCATTACAAAATGATGTACTCACTTGAATATATTATTGTGTTTTCTATAGCTACTTTTCATTTTTGAGGCAAATGTCATTGCCGGCCACTTTATAGTTTATTTTTCATTGATTGAAACTTGTTTTTCCATACTGGTATGATGAGTGTTTCTGATGTACCATATTGTATTGTTCTGCATCCTTCCCCAGCTGGGTTCTGGTCTGCTCTGGGAGGGAAGAAGGAGTACCAGACCTCTAGGAGTCTGCAGAAGATGGTCAAGCCACCACGCCTGTTTGGCTGCTCTAACAAGACTGGCCGGCTCATAGTGAGTAGAGGGGGGCTTTCTCTTAGTGTAAGGATGGAGGGATGGAATATTTGGTTGTGAAGGATACTCTGTATTCATCTCTCTCTCTCTCTCTCTCTCTCTCTCTCTCTCTCTCTCTCTCTCTCTCAGCGCTTCATCTCATCTACTCGAGCGCTATCTAGATCTCTCTGCGCGTCTCATCTCTCTCGCTCGCTCTCTCTAGTACTATGCTTATTCTTCTCTCTCTCTCGCTCTCTCTCTCACTATCTATATATCGATCTCTACTCTCTCTCTCTCTCTCTCTCTCTCTCTCTCTCTCTCTCTCTCTCAGGCTGAGGAGGTGCCTGGAGATTTCAACCAGTCAGACTTGGCAACTGATGACGTCATGCTTCTGGACACTTGGGATCAGGTAAGGTCTTGGCCTGATGTTGAATACTATTATACAGTATAATCCAATCCACATGATCGCAGTGGCTCTGATACAACTGAAGTCCTGCTATGATCGTTTTTAAAGGAAGTGGTCCAATCCTCCAATCCCTCTCCACATCCCGCTTTTATTGTTTCCCTATCCCATAATCCCCTGAGGGCGCAGGGTTGAACCCATAGAAATAGAATGATATACTTCCTGGCATGGGTACACTCAAATGGCCTCCGCTCCACCCATCATGGAGCAATGATTTGAATTGGAATGTCTGTTCTAGTCATTCTATTTCTATGGATGATCAACTCTCTTCTTCTATTACTTTTACAGATCTTCCTCTGGATCGGCAACGAGGCCAATGAGGTGGAGAGGACCGGATCAGCAAAAATTGGTACGATTGATTAATAATCTATTGGCCATTGTTCAAACATACACTCAGTGTAGTCACTAACAAAAAGTGTCAATCTTTGGCAGGGTTTCCCAAACTCTGTCCTGGGGCCCACCCCTGGGGTGCACGTTTTGGTTTTTGCCCTCGTACTACACAGCTGATTCAAATAATCAAAGCTTGATGATGAGTTGATTATTTGAATCAGCTGTGTAGTGCGAGGGCAAAAACCAAAACGTGCATCCAAGGGGGGCACCAGGACCGAGTTTGTGAAACTCTGATCTATGGGACTTCATGTAGAGCTTTCTTCTTGTCTTTCAGCCAAAGACTATGTGGATTCGGACCCCTCTGGTCGCCAGGGCATTGCCATCACTATGATCAAGCAGGGAATGGAACCGCCAACCTTCACCGGCTGGTTCCAGGCCTGGGACCCCAAGATGTGGGAAACCGACCCTCTGGAGCGTATCCGCGCCCGCTTTTAAACTTTACTGTGCTCAACCACTTCCTCCTGCTCCCTCCCCTCCCCTCGCATGGCTTCTTCTCCTGCACTATCCTCTACTCCTGAAATCACAAGGCCAAGACATCTGCAAGACATCTGCAAGCAGTTACATTTGACATTTTAGTCATTTAGCAGACGCTCTTATCCAGAGCTAGTGAGTACATACATAAAATAAAATAAATTATACTGGCCCCCCGTGGACCCATAAGCCCAATGAAACTGGTCTGGTCCATTATATTGGATTAGCCTGGTCTCAGATCTGTTTGTGTTCTTGCATACTCCGTTGCTGTGATTGTCAAGCCAAATGTTTGGCATGACAATGAGTGACAAGAAGTTAGAATGATAGCACAAACAGACTGGCACTCAGGCTATGCTTGGATGACTGTCTCAGCAAATATTATGTCTTTATTTTATTATTATCATGTATAACTGTGTGGCTTCGCAATTAAACAAGTGCCAATGCTCAAACACAGGAATGATAGCTAAATACACATATTTATCTCAAGTATAACTGTGGCATTAACCATGATGGCATTTAAAAAAATCACTTTTGCTATCTTATGTGGCATAAAAAAATAAGCCTAACAGTCTATCTCATGCTTGTATACTTTTGTAATTTTACTCTGAATCTGAGAAAAATGTACTTCTGAAGAGAAACAACAAATTAATATGTGAGGTTTTATGGGATTTGATGATTGTTTGTAATAAAACATCCTGCTTTTTGAAAGGAGGTTGTGTTTTTTTATTGCGTCTTGCATTATGTACACTGAACAAAAATATAAACGTAACATGTAAAATGTTGGTCCCATGTTTCATGAGCTGAAATAAAAGATCCCAGAAATGTTCCATAGGCACAAAAAGCTTATTTCTCTCAAATGTTGTGCACAAATGTGTTTATCTCCCTGTTAGTGAGCAATTCTCCTTTGTCAAGATAATCCATTCACCTGACAGGTGTGGCATATCAAGAAGCTGATTAAACAGCATGATCATTACACAGGTGCACTGTGCTGGGGACATGAAAAGGCCACTGTAAAACGTGCAGTTTTGTCACACAACACAATGCCACAGATGTGTCAAATTTTGAGGGAGCGTGCAGTTGGCATGCTGACTGCAGGGATGTCCACCAGAGCTGTTGCCAGATAATTTAATGTTAATTTCTCTACCATAAGCCGTATCCAACGTTGTTTTAGAGAATTTGATAGTACGTCCAACCAGACCATGTGTATGGCGTCGTGTGGGTGAGCGGTTTGCTCAACGTTGTGCACAGAGTGCCCCATGGTGGCAGTGGGGTTATGGTATGGGCAGGCATAAGCTGAAAATTTCCCAGTTCTTCCATGGCCTGTATACTCACCAGACATGTCACCCATTGAGCATGTTTGGGTTGCTCTGGATCAATGTGTACGACAGCGTGTTCCAGTTACCACCAATATCCAGCAACTTCGCACAGCCATTGAAGAGGAGTGGGACAACATTCCACAGGCCACAATCAACAGCCTGATCAACTCTATGTGAAGGAGATATCTCGCGCTGCAAATGGTGGTCACACCAGATACTGACTAGTTTTACGATCCACACCCCTACCTTTTGTGTAAGGTATCTGTATTCCCAGTCATGTGAAATCCATAGCTTAGGGCCTAATTTATTTATTTAAATTTATTTATTTAAATATTTTTGTTCAGTATACATAAATTTGTATTTGTTTTAGATAGCACCTTTTTTTCTAAGAGCGTAGCCTTACTCCCAACCAGTGATGTTGTGGAGGGTAACTTCAATTAAACTCAGTGTACACACTTAGATAAGTGTTTATTGCATTATGGTTTACCCACCTATTTACCCATGACACAGGGTTGATTTACCCTGGTCTGACTGCCACCAAACAAACACCAAAGTTTTCCTCTACTCTCCCTCGCTGTGTACCACGAGTGGCGTCAGCCAGGCTAGGTTTGCCCACCCACCCTACTTATTTTACCACTATCCCTGCTAACCCACAGCCACCCCACTAATCCATCTTATATAAAACATTAGTTAAGCCCTCAGAGGGGGCCAGGCCTACTTCTCTCAGGCTGTGTGTGTGTGTGTGTGGAGGCAGGGCTTTCTCTTATAGAGCTCAATTTTTATGGAATGGTCTGCCAATTCATGTGACGCAGACTAGGTCTCAACCTTTAAGTATTTTCTGAAGACTCATCTCTTCAGTAGGTCCTATGATTGAGTGTAGTCTGGCCTAGGGCTGTTACAGTGACTGTATTACCGTCACACCTGCGGCCACGAGTCATGACGGCAGTCAAATTCCACATGACCGTTTAGTCACGGTAATTAGACTTCTCCAAGCTCTGTTGCTGCTGATGGTCATTAGTAGCCTACCAACTTGCTAACTGCCTGGTACTCAGCACTCTATTGTCCCTCTAATCACTCTGACATCAATGCAAATGTGATCGAAAATCTAATCAAACACTTCATGAGAGCCCATGAGGTCATGTTACACAACATTTCTATAGGCTATGCAATTGTGTGAGAAAACAGTGTGATAGCCTCTATTAAAAAGCGGAGGATCCCATCAGCTTTCTATAGGCTAGGCCTACTATATTTATTTCTCAACGTTCCTAATATTAAGCAATATAGCCTACCTGGCTGGCATGAAAATGAACCACGGGAAAAGCGTCCTCCTTTCGCCATTTAAGTGCATAGATTACATGTATTTTTCTCCCCTGCCCCGGTTTCGAGACAGGTGCATGATAAAGGTCCATTCTAAATCAAAACAAATTTCACACTTATCTTATTTAGTATATTTAAAGACAAGATTATATCAAGAATAGTCCGATGGGTGACAATATATCACTTGTGAATGATATATTATCACTTGTGAACGATGCCCAGCTTGTGTGCAGCAAGGCAAGAAACAGCACATGCCTTTTTTCGCGACTTTTTCAAATCATAGTAGCACACCTCATGTAGCCTAGCCCATAGGTCTATATGTGTTGATAAGGTTTGTATCACAACTAAAGTGGCCAACTAACTTCTTAAATTTAAGCACATTAATCCACTTTACAACCAATGTAGAGCCTTACTGTCATACATAGGCAGCGCGCGAGTTTCAAGTTTGGGGAAGATAATTTTCACCATAAAATTGCACCTTTATAATTTTACATTTTAGTCATTTAGCAGACGCTCTTATCCAGAGCGACTTACCAGAGTGAGTGCATACATGATTTTTTTTCCATACTGGCCCCCTGTGGGAATTGAACCCACAACCCTGGCATTGCAAGCACCATGCTCTACCGACTGAGCTACACGGGCCCGTAATAAATGCATAATCGCATTTGCGGTCACTTTTGAGAATGGTGTTTTCCAGCTAATTTATTGCATTTTGGAACATTGGCACTGATAGCCTACTGCAGTGTGCACATTGCTGCGCTTATAATGTGAATAAATACCCTAGTAGGTTATCAACATTTGAAGCTAAACGTTCTGATCTGTTGTGTCAGCCTCATTGCTTAAAAAAGTTAATTTGATGCTATCGCATCCCACAACTGTCCCAGTTTATGTATGGAATATTTATTTATTGCACAGAATAGAATAGGTCAACTTTTGTACTATGGGGGATAGTAGATTGACATAGGCTAGTGCTTTTGCTGTTCGTTAGGCCTACTCATCTTGTTGGCTGACGAAAAGTAAATGTTGACTGTTCTTCCAATATCTTCAATATGCGCCTCGGATGCACGCAGTTGTGTCCCGGATGTGTCTGTCTTCACTTGTAGCCTGTGAGAAAGACCCGATCACGTGACGGGCATTGGATAATCTGAGAGAGCCATGTGAGTGAGAGGTGCTTCGGAGCACGCAGCCGGGAGAAAGGAATTATAATGATTATATTCAGCCCAAGGGCACATCGGCCACTGGCCGCAAAAGGCACAGATTTTTTAAAGGGTCATTACGGCCACACAAAGGGGATGCCGCCGGGAAGTTCAAGGCATTATCAAGTGCTTGTCAAATTGTGAATGAGAGATTGACGAAGTGTGTGCAGGCTGAGCAAAAAACAAAGCAGAGCACATGCCTTTCATGCGAGTTTTTTCAAATGATCATTAGAGTCTCATCATGCAGCCTTAGAATGTATTAAACATTAAAACATGTAGCCCAATATTTGTATCACAACTAAAGTTGCATAAATATCTCTAAATTAAACATAATGGGAGGACATGTTTCTTTGTTAACCATTCAACAAAGAAGAGCTGCATGTGCGCACTCCCTCAAATTGTTTGGAGAAAATATCCTTTGTATTTTATTCAGCTATGTTCAATTGTATTCTTCATACTATAAAATAATATAAAATAATGCCATGGAATTCTAAGCAAATTTTGTCTGCTAAATGAACTAGTGTAGCCCACAGCCATATGGCATAGCCAGATCAGGGCCTAACATAAGGACAACTCAGAGTATGCTATTGTGTTCTTCTGAAATAGACTACATTTTCTTCATATCATGTTTCTTTAGACCTGTCTAATATAAATAATGGATTTATTGTGATGGTGTAGGCTATATCACATGGAGTTATTAGACATTTTAAAATGTAGATGTTCCAAAGGTCTACATCAGTGGTGAACGGCAAGGCACTGGAGTGGCAAACCACACTTGCTGTCTCTGCCTGACCGGCTCCCCTCTCTCCACCAGGATTATCTGCCTCTGACCTTATTAAAGGGGCTGAGTCACTGGCTTGCTCGCGCTCTCCCATGCCAGGCATCATGTCATGCCAGGCTTTTTTCCCGCTATACTTGACTTGAGTGGGTTGAGTCACTGACGAGGTCTTCCTGTCCAGTTTTGTGCGGTGGGGGAGATCCTCGTGGGCAATATCGGTCTTGTCTCAGGGTAGTAAATTAGTGTCTGTTGATATCCCGTGGTGGTGTGGGGGCTGTGCAAAGTGGGTGGCGTTATATCCTGCCTGGTTGGCCCTGTCAGGGAGGGTGGGGGCACAGTGTCCTATCTGGTGTAATTTTCCTGTCATATCTGGTGTCCTGTGTGATCTTAGATATGTTCCTTCTAATTATCCTTTCTCTCTCTCTCTCTCTCCATCTCTCTCTCTCTCTCTCTCTCTCTCTCTCTCTCTCTCTCTCTCTCTCTCTCTCTCTCTCTCTCTCTCTCTCTCTCTCTCTCTCTCTCTCTCTCTTTCTCTCTCTCTCTCTCTCTCTCTCTTTCCTCAGGACTACCTGGCCTGACCACTCCTGGCTGTGCCCGTCCCCAGTCCACCTGGTCGTGCTGCTGATCCAGTTTCTGCTGTTCTGCTTGCGGCTATGGAATCCTGACCTGTTCACCAGACGTGCTACCTTGTCCCGGACCTGCTGTTTCAAACCAATCAATCAATCAATCAATTTTATTTTATATAGCCCTTCTTACATCAGCTAATATCTCGAAGTGCTGTACAGAAACCCAGCCTAAAACCCCAAACAGCTAGTAATGCAGGTGTAGAAGCACGGTGGCTAGGAAAAACTCCCTAGAAAGGCGAAAACCTAGGAAGAAACCTAGAGAGGAACCAGGCTATGAGGGGTGGCCAGTCCTCTTCTGGCTGTGCCGGGTGAAGATTATAACAGAACCATGCCAAGATGTTCAAAAATGTTCATAAGTGACAAGCATGGTCAAATAATAATCAGGAATAAATCTCAGTTGGCTTTTCATAGCCGATCATTAAGAGTTGAAAACAGCAGGTCTGGGACAGGTAGGGGTTCCATAACCGCAGGCAGAACAGTTGAAACTGGAATAGCAGCAAGGCCAGGCGGACTGGGGACAGCAAGGAGTCACCACGGCCGGTAGTCCCGACGTATGGTCCTAGGGCTCAGGTCTCTCAGTTGGCTTTTCATAGCCGATCATTAAGAGTTGAAAACAGCAGGTCTGGGACAGGTAGGGGTTTCGTAACCGCAGGCAGAACAGTTGAAACTGGAATAGCAGCAAGGCCAGGCGGACTGGGGACAGCAAGGTGTCATCATGCCCGGTAGTCCTGACGTATGGTCCTAGGGCTCAGGTTCTCAGAGAGAAAGAGAGAACGAGAGAATTAGAGAGAGCATACTTAAATTCACACAGGACACTGGATAAGACAGGATAAGTACTCCAGGTATAACCAACTAACCCCAGCCCCCCGACACATAAACTACTGCAGCATAAATACTGGAGGCTGAGACAGGAGCGGTCCGGAGACACTGTGGCCCCATCCGAAGAAACCCCCGGACAGGGCCAAACAGGAAGGATATAACCCCACCCACTCTGCCAAAGCACAGCCCCCGCACCACTAGAGGGATATCCTCAACCACCAACTTACAATCCTGAGACAAGGCCGAGTATAGCCCACAGAGGTCTCCACCACAGCACAAACCAAGGGGGGGCGCCAACCCAGACAGGAAGATCACGTCAGTAACTCAACCCACTCAAGTGACGCACCCCTCCCAGGGACGGCATGAAAGAGCACTAGCAAGCCAGTGACTCAGCCCCTGCAACAGGGTTAGAGGCAGAGAACCCCAGTGGAGAGGGGAACCGGCCTGGCAGAGACAGCAAGGGCTGTTCGTTGCTCCAGAGCCTTTCCGTTCACCTTCACACTCCTGGGCCAGACTACACTCAATCATATGACCTACTGAAGAGATAAGTCTTCAGTAAAGACTTAAAGGTTGAGACCGAGTCTGCGTCTCTCACATGGGTAGGCAGACTGTTCCATAAAAATGGAGATCTATAGGAGAAAGCCCTGCCTCCCGCTGTTTGCTTAGAAATTCTAGGGACAATTAGGAGGCCTGCGTCTTGTGACCGTAGCGTACGTATTGGTATGTACGGCAGGACCAACTCGGAAAGATAGGTAGGAGCAAGCCCATGTAACGCTTTATAGGTTAACAGTAAAACCTTGAAATCAGCCCTTGCCTTAACAGGAAGCCAGTGTAGGGAAGCTAGCACTGGAGTAATATGATCAAATTTCTTGGTTCTAGTCAGGATTCTAGCAGCCGTATTTAGCACTAACTGAAGTTTATTTAGTGCTTTATCCGGGTAGCCGGAAAATAGAGCATTGCAGTAGTCTAACCTAGAAGTAACAAATGCATGGATTAATTTTTCTGCATCATTTTTGGACAGAAAATTTCTGATTTTTGCAATGTTACGTAGATGGAAAAAAGCTGTCCTTGAAACAGTCTTGATATGTTCGTCAAAAGAGAGATCAGGGTCAAGAGTAACGCCGAGGTCCTTCACAGTTTTATTCTCTCTCTCTCTCTCTCTCTCTCTCTCTCTCTCTCTCTCTCTCTCTCTCTCTCTCTCTCTCTCTCTCTGTCTCTCTCTCTCTCTCTCTCTCTCTCTCTCTCTCTCTCTACCTCTCTCTCTCTCTCTCTCTCTCTCTCTATTTTAATTCAATTCAATTCAAAGGGCTTTGTTGGCATGAGAAACATATATTTACATTGCCAAAGCAAGTGAAATAGATAATGAACAAAAGTGAAATAATCAATCAGAAAGGAACAGTAAACATTAAGCTCACAGGTTTCAAAGGAATATACACATTTCAAATGTCATATTATGGCTATATACAGTGTTATAATGATGTGGAAATAGTTAAAGTACAAAAGGGAAAATAAATAAACATAAATATGGGTTGTATTTACAATGGTGTTTGTTCTTTACTGGTTGCCCTTTTCTTGTGGCAACAGGTCACAAATCTTGCTGCTGTGATGGCACACTGTGGTATTTCACCCAATAGATATGGGAGTTTATCAAAATTAGATTTGTTTTGGAATAATTTCTCTCTCTCTGTCTCTCTCTATCACACCTGCTGTCTCGACCTCTGAATGCTCAGCTATGAAAAGCCAACTGACATTTACTCCTGAGTTGCTGACCTGTTGCACCCTCTATAACCACTGATTATTATTTGACCCTGCTGGTTATCTATGAATGTTTGAACATATTGAAGAACGATCTGGCCTTATTGGCCATGTACTCTTATAATCTCCACCTGGCACAGCCAGAAGAGGTCTGGCCACCTCTCAGAGCCTGGTTCCTCTCTAGGTTTCTTCCTAAGTTCCTGCCTTTCTAGGGTGTTTTTCCTAGCCACCATGCTTTTACATCTGCATTGCTTGCTGTTTGGGGTTTTAAAAAGGGCTTTATACAATACATTTGATTGTGTGTGTGTACAGTCGTGGTCAAAAGTTTTGAGAATGACACAAATATAAATTTTACAAAGTCTGCTGCCTCAGGTTTTATGATGGCAATTTGCATATACTCCAGAATGTTATGAAGAGTGATCAGATTAATTGCAATTAATTGCAAAGTCCCTCTTTGCCATGAAAATGAACTTAATCCCCAAAAAACATTTCCACTGCATTTCAGCCCTGCCACAAAAGGACCAGCTGCCATCATGTCAGTGATTCTCTCGTTAACACAGGTGAGAGTGTTGACGAGGACAAGGCTGGAGATCACTCTGTCATGCTGATTGAGTTAGAATAACAGACTGGAAGCTTTAAAAGGAGAGCGGTGCTTGAAATCATTGTTCTTCCTCTGTTAACCATGGTTCCCTGCAAGCAAACATGTGCTGTCATCATTGCTTTGCACAAAAAGGGCTTCACAGGCAAGGATATTGCTGCTAGTAAGATTGCACCTAAATCAACCATTTATCGGATCATCAAAAACTTAAAGGAGAGAGGTTCAATTGTTGTGAAGAAGGCTTCAGGGCGCCCAAGAAATTCCAGCAAGCACCAGGACCGTCTCCTAAAGTTGATTCAGCTGCGGGATTGGGGCACCACCAGTGCAGAGCTTGCTCAGGAATGGCAGCAGGCAGGTGTGAGTGCATCTGCACGCACAGTGAGGCGAAGACTTTTGGAGGATGGCCTGGTGTCAAGAAGGGCAGCAAGGAAGCCACTTCTCTCCAGGAAAAACATCAGGGACAGTGATATTGTGCAAAAGGTACAGGGATTGGACTGCTGAGGACTGGGGTAGTCATTTTCTCTGATGAATCCCCTTTCCGATTGTTTGGGGCATCCGGAAAAAAGCTTGTCCGGAGAAGACAAGGTGATTGCTACCATCAGTCCTGTGTCATGCCAACAGTAAAGCATCCTGAGACCATTCATGTGTGGGGTTGCTTCTCAGTCAAGGGAGTGGGCTCACTCACAATTTGGCCTAAGAACACAGCCATGAATAAAGAATGGTACCAACACATCCTCCGAGAGCAACTTCTCCCAACCATCCAAGAACAGTTTGGTGATGACCAATGCCTTTTCCAGCATGATGGATTACCTTGCCATAAGGCAAAATTGATAACTAAGTGGCTCAGGGAACAAAACATCGACATTTTGGGTCCAAGGCCAGGAAACTCCCCAGACCTTAATCCCATTGAGAACTTGTGGTCGATCCTCAAGAGGCGGGTGGACAAACAAAAACCCACAAATTCTAACAAACTCCAAGCATTGATTATGCAAGAATGGGCTGCTATGTTGCCCAGAAGTTAATTGACAGAATGCCAGGGCGGATTGCAGAGGTCTTGAAAAAGAAGGGTCAACACTGCAAATATTGACTCTTTGCATAAACGTAATGTAATTGTCAATAAAAGCCTTTGACACTTGTGGAATGCTTGTAATTATACTTCAGTGTACCATAGTAACATCTGACAAAAATATCTAAAAACACTGAAGCAGCAAACTTTGTGAAGACCAATACTTGTGTCATTCTCAAAACTTTTGACCACGACTGTATAGGTGTAGGCTATATGTATGCCATGCTAATGGATACTAATCATGCTCCTGTATAAGGCTGTCTCTGCTGAGTCTGACTACAGTGGATTACTGAGCCGAGGTTTGAGAAGCAAATCACCTTTACTCCCTCTCTCTCATCTCCTCATGCTCGCTCTTATTCCGTCCTTCTCTCTCATTCCCCCCTCGCTTTCATTCCCTCCTTGCTTTCATTCCCTCCTGCTGTCTCTCATTACCTGATACTGGAGTTGTGAGACCAGTTTATTAGCCCTATCCAGGAATTTATCTCAATTTAGGTTCTTAAAGACTAAAGAGTTTCTGTGAGACTAACAGCAGCGATGAACCAGAAGATTGTCCTCATCACAGGTTGCTCCTCAGGCATCGGCCTGGCCCTGGCTGTACGCATCGCCAAGGATGAAAAGAAGAGGTTCATGGGTAAGTTAGTGGGAACTCTTTGGGTGGAACAGAATTTGGAGATTGAATGTTATGGTAATAGATTGTAACAGCAAGATTGCAACCAAAATGTGATGTTTATTCCACCGCTGTCAATGGAATAAATCTCAGCTATCTGTAAAAATTATTATGGAAAGCACTGGAATTGTGAGGACGGTTCCTCCACCTTCAAAATCCCCAAAAGTATGGTCAGAAACTCCTAATCTCCAGACTATACAGCTACACAATATTCATAGACAAACTTGTCTGCTTCCTAGAGACTAAGATACACCTGTGTTGTGTTCTCCAGTGTATGCCACGATGAGGAACCTGGGTAAGGCAGAGGCCCTTGTGGAGGCAGCAGGCAGGACTCTGGGCAGGACCCTGGTGATTAAACAACTGGATGTTTGCAATGAAGACTCCATCAAGGCCTGTGTGGCCAGCCTGTCTGACGGCAAGATAGACATACTCAGTAAGTACGGATGCACGCACGCATACACCCTTATCTGGTGTTACATGTAGGCTAATAATCCCACATCTTTATATGTATGGACACAGTCTTCCCTGATCTCCTTTGCATTACAAACACAGTAAATAATTAGACTGTAATTATATTGTAAGGCTTGTTGGTTGTATTAAAATGAAGGACTGCACTGCTTTTTGCCCTCACATCCCAATTCCAGTGGCTTGTTCAGTAGGATGTAACGTTACAGAACATTCAGGCAGAAATGTATCATAGAAAACATATGATTGTCTGTCATGTAGAATAGGGCATTGTTTCAGCTCTACTGATTCAATTTCTATTTGCAAACGCAACGATCAGAACGTTTTCACATAACTGAATAAACCTATATTTTCCCCTCTCAGTCAGCAATGCTGGGATGGGTCTGATAGGCCCCATAGAGTGTCAGTCTATGGAGGAGATGAAGGCTGTCATGGATACCAACTTCTTTGGTCTAGTGAGACTCCTCAAAGAGATCCTGCCAGACATGAAGAAAAGGAAGAGCGGCCATATTGTTGTGATCAGCAGTGTCATGGGCATACAGGGTAAGAGATGTTGCTTCTTTTCACACAATGGCTTTTCATGAGGTTTTCTTACAGACCAGCAAGAGTGCTAGTGTATTTGTGAGTAGGCTACACATTTGTATGTGCCTAATAGCAAAGACATGTATTTTAAAGGTAAACACGTATTACCAGTTTTAATGTGGCATGCCAAACACAACCAGGCATGATGTTTTCATCTGATTGTCAAATCACTTCAAAAAGTAGGCTACCTGTGCACATTGGTCCACTCCAAAATAATTCCAGCATCCAAACAGTGCACCAGCCATTGGATGAATGGAAAGAGACAACTGTTAAAAAACACCAAAACATGCAATAACATTCAGGGATTGTCAGTAGGTCTACACTCTTGTAGCCTGAATTAATTGATGTGTCTTGCTGACAAATTTACATTTTTTTGTAAAAAGAAAAGTCGGGACACCTGAAAAGGGGCTGAAATATAGACGCGAATAGAGCCATGTCTGTCCTGAGCTCATCAACGCGGGAAACTGCGAAGGCCCAGTTAAAAACAATGTTGCAATTTCGCTAGCAGGTTGAACCCAGTCGATACAAGGTTGCAAGTTTGCTAGCCTAAACTCAAGACAGAGAGAGAGGCGTACAGGTGGGGAGAAGATAGATTAATGCGATTGAAAGAACCTGAACCAACTGTCACTGGATTAAACCATGACAGAGAGGTGGGGGTGTTCGTTTAATTTGGAATGCACTTTTCTTTTCTTTTTTACCACTGTATCAGTAAAAAATTGCATTTTAAACACAGGAGAATAGTTCAAATAGAGATCCTCCCAAAGTTTGACTTTTGTTGCATTTAGGGGAGCTCATGTCTCATTTGGGGGGCTGAGCCCCCCCCCCCCCCCCCCCCCCCCCCCATAATTCCCACACTGCTACTGGTTCAATATTAACTGTTGAAGAACCCTCAGCCTAGAAATGGAAAGACTCATCATGATCTGAACTTCATCAATTTAAATTTTACAATTGACACATCTGGTCTGTATAAATGATTTGGTGGCATTCTCCTTTTTCGCAGGTATATTATTCAACGATATCTACGCGGCATCCAAGTTTGCTGTGGAGGGGTTCTGTGAAAGCTTGGCCGTCCAAGCCCTGAGGTTTAATCTGAAGTAAGTAGTCCTACCATACCACTAGTTCTGGTCCAGGGCGTTAGTGTGGCTTGCTAAGGAATGCTGAGCATTAGGGACCAGAGCTTCCCTACCACAAACTGCATCTGGTGTGTGTGGAGGGTACATTCACACTGCTCTGTTTGTAAGAGTTAAATTAGTCTCATGAGGCAGAGATTAGAGAAGGGAGGGAGAGGATGCATCATGGAGCTGACTTCCCCTCAGTGGCAAATAATGCATGCTAACCAACACCTGTGGCCCACTTGTCCGTGTCAGCAACATCTGCACTCATACATTGCAATATCCTACCATTGTTTCATGCCACGAGTGACAAAAAAACACATGCTACAGTTGGGTAAAATGGTAATAACAACCACACCCAACAAATATTATACAGATGATTTATAAGAAGCTACAGCATAGAGACACAATCTTAGGATTTATTATAGATTTCCCTGTGGTATTACATACAGAAAATACAAAAAGGTTTTGGTGACAGAATAGAATTGAGTTTACTAGGCCAACTGAACATTCACTTAAAGTAGTAATGGTGTGTGTGTGTTGCTGTCATTGCTGTGGCAGTATAAGTCTGATTGAGCCAGGCCCTGTGGTGACGGAGTTTGAGCGTAAGGTCTATGAGGAGGGCATGAAGGCAGACCTCTCCAAAGCTGACAAAGTGACAGCAGATATGTTTACCAACATCTATCTGAAGAACTTCAAGCAGATCTATGAAAGCCTTGGACAGACACCTGAGGACATAGCAGAGGTATATTAGCCTATTGTTATAGAGGAAAAGGGCTCAAATTGACACATTATAAAGGCTTATACATATAACATGTTATAAAGCTTTATACCTAGAGACTAAGTAAAGTGTAGTTCTCAATCACAGGGTTTGTTTGTTTGGTGCATGTGTTCAAATTGCTGTGGTTAAATGTCTCCCCCTAGCTTGACTCACTTGACTTGTCCAAGGGCCTCAACAGTGCCTCTCCAGAAAACCATGTTCTGGGCAGTTATTTTGTATTTATTTCAGGTTATTCCGAATTCTTCATCTCATCTTCAATGGCCCTTCCTTCTCTGTGTCTTCCTTCCTTAGCACACACACAAGATCATCACCATGGACAACCCTCCATTCCGGCACCAGACCAACACCCTGTACACCCCCATGACCACCCTGAAGTATGCTGACCCAAACGGAGACCTTCCCATTGACACCTTCTACAAGATGGTGTTTGAGCACGACAAGGTCTTCAATGCCAGCCTCAACTTCCTCAAGCTGCTACGCTGGAGGAGCCGCAATAACTTCACTATGGATAAGGACAAGAGCAATTCTTAGGATGTGTCCCAAAAGGCACCATATTCCCTAGTGCACTACTTTTGACAAGAGCCCTATGGGAATAGTTGTAGGGTTCCTCTGGCTCCATCGAGGGGGAGAGGTCTCTTCACCGCTTCATCCACTGCCATTCATTCATCCAAATTCCTTGGCTAAAGACTCTACTTCGTATCCTAGTGTGATGTACTAATGTGTTAAAAACGTTTTCATATTGTTTTCTGTCTGTCTGAAAATGTATTGAAATATGCTCAACCCTTACACAAAATATTCAAGAAAACTAGTTATGAAAACTCTGAGTAGAATAGGAATTAATAGGGGGGAAATTGAAGCAAGCACTATTAATATCCTATCAGATGCTTCACAGACATACTGTACATTACTGTGCAGAGCAGATACACCACACACTTCCACATCCAAAAAATATACCCTTAACTCACTCCCAAGCTCTGTAAAGCCTTCACATATCCCATTTTATGCAGGAAATACAAAGGACAGTGGCAAAGTCATTATACACAACATTTTGTGATCACATTTACAAATTAATTCACTTTTTTATTATAAATTAGAAACCAACATAGTAATGCCGAAATGTTGGTGGTTTACCCAATAAATTACTGGGAGTTTATATATAGAGTGTGCGACTCTCTTTGTTTTTAGAGATCCAATTATGTAACAACATTATCTACTGGGTCAGTAATCCATGATTCACAGGGAATAGAATATTACACCGCATTGTATTAAAGGATAATCCAATGTTAACCACTACCTACGCACAAGACAGAAATATGTGATAAAACAAATACATGGTAAATGTCCATTGCAATACCTGTTTTAGTCTAATTGGAAAAGGGAAAATATTATTGTACACCTAAGTATTATAACCATATGTAGGCCTGGCACACCTTTTTATTACAGTATTATTTTGCCTCCAACACAGTAGGTGGCGATATTTCTATTTGGCCGATAGCACAGGGCACGGAGAAAGAAAGAAAAAACGGATATGGACTTTTGTTCGCATGGCTCGTTTCCGGAGAAATGTCAGTGCCGAATTGCCGGTGAACCGAACGTAACAAAATACATGAATTAAAGTATTTCGTTCGGCTGGCTGATAAAGGAACAGTAGTTCTCGTTCCAGTGTATACAGGATTTTGGTTGAAACCGTTTTTTGGGGATCAACACTGCGTTACGAAATGATCCCTACGACACGATTGCTATCCATGTCCTCAAAAGCTGCTGCAGCTAGCTAGATAATATTAGCTAGGCTAACGCGTTGCGATAGAGGGACCATAGCTTGCTAACTCGCTAGCTAGTTTTCTCCTACTGTTTGCATTTTCTCTTGTCCTCACTATCGTGTTTTACTTGTACCTTTCCGTTACAGCCCACGTCTCTACAGTAACATTATGGTATACTGTGTCAATAGGCTTTTCTGTAACTAGTTTGCATAGCTAGTTTAGTAAGTTTTAAACCCAACTAGCTAACGTTAGCGTCTAGCCCACGACATTTTCAACACGTAGCTAGCTAACGTTAGCCCTCTGCGGAACCCTACTATCAAATCAAGCTTTTCCCCCAGTTTCGTTTTTACTAACTTGAGCAGCTAGTTATCTGGAATACGATGGCTTCTTCGTCGGGAAACGATGACGACCTCACCATTCCTAGGGCAGCCATCAACAAAATGATCAAAGAAACTCTGCCCAACGTACGGGTTGCCAACGATGCAAGAGAGCTTGTTGTGAACTGCTGCACAGAGTTCATACATCTAATCTCATCAGAGGCGAATGAAATATGTAACAAGTCTGAAAAGAAGACCATATCACCTGAACATGTCATTAATGGTTAGTATCTTTTTCTTTTTTTATTCTGTATCAACAGGTTTGAAAATGTATTCAGTTGTAATGTGTAGGTGTGTTTTCCCTTCCTGCCTGCCATGTGTTTTGAAGTTGATGCAGGTATGCACTTGCCTGGCCCCTTATCTGTAAACCAGGTTAGCTATAGCAAACCAATCTGGAACCAGGTTAGCTAGTTATGCACTAGGAAGTCCAACAATAATCAAGTGATGAGACTGTTGAATGTTGATTAAATGTCTGTTTCCTTTTCCCCAACATTGTTTCTGTTATTTTTTCCCCTAACCATATCCTCTTCTCCACAGCACTTGAAAGCCTGGGTTTTGCATCGTACATCACAGAGGTGAAGGATGTCCTGCAGGAGTGTAAAACAGTAGCACTTAAGAGGAGGAAGGCCAGCTCTCGCCTGGAAAACCTGGGCATCCCAGAGGAAGAGCTCCTCAGACAACAGCAGGAACTATTTGCTAAGGTAAGAATCAAATGTCATGACCTGGTTAACCAGACTGACCACCGCCAGTTTACAAGAAATATAACCTACCTGTGTAAGGATCAAGAAGGATAACCTGTTTATGATTCAGACCATTTCTTGCCACATCTCTGGCTCTGCACTTTGATAGATCACCTTCACCAGGAATTGTTAGCCGCAGTATACAAACAGATATCTGTCTACAGCGTGACAAAAGCTCAAATCATGTATATTTGTTTTGGTAACATTTAGTAGATATTCTAGGTCGAGTGGCTCCCCTGCTTTGCTGTCTGCATCTATCTCTGACCATGTCTAATTGATTGGTGGACTGACTGTATTTACTGTGTTCCAGGCACGGCAGCAGCAGGCCGAGCTGGCCCAGCAGGAGTGGCTCCAGATGCAGCAGGCTGCCCAGCAGGCCCAGTTGGCTGCAGCGTCCGTCAGCGCTGGACAGCAGGCTGGCTCCTCCCAGGACGAGGATGATGAGGATGACATGTGATTATGAAGATGATCCCTGGGTCTAGGCTTGAATCTGGGCTGCAACATCCAAAACATTTGCAACAGATAATAAAAACAAGCATTTCTTATTGGATAACTACAGATAGTAAGCTACCACCCGTTTCTGGTTGTTTTCATCCGTTTCGTGCCTACTGAACACGACCCAGGCCATATCCCTTCTCTTTGGACAGTGTCGGCAAGCAGCCCTCTCTTTCTCTCTCTCCGAATGCTCTCATTGGCAGTGATCTCAGCTGTGTTCGGACATAATGCACATAACTACACCAGTCCAGTATCAGGAGTTCACATTGTCATGGACAGTTTCAAGCTACATAGATATGGGGAATTGTATTATGTTTTTATTGTCACATACTAGGTAGACATATTTTTTCTTTTTTTGACAGCAGTACCTGAAAACACATATTTGGATAAAGATACATTTTCAAGCTTTCCTCCACTTAAATTAATGTAATATGTTTGTCAATTACAAATCAAATCTGTCATGGAATTGTCATTTTCTGTGTGATTTGTAGATTAGAGATTGTTGGATGCAAGGTAGCATGGAAAATGCTGCCGAAGGCAAAGGGTGTATTGGGGGAAAAAAGTCGAATGGTTTTGGCTATGTTGAGAAACTAACGTGAGGACAGTACAGGTACTGCTCCTTATCCTCACTTTTCTTGCCAAAGGTGGGCTTTGCTTAATCCTCCCACTGGCTTGTCCTTTTTGGAAAGTAATTTTTACTGAACTTGTTCCTTACCCCCCTCTTCGGATGTTTGTTTAACAGGACGGATATGTCCCAAATAGCACCACGTTCCATATAAACTGCACTACATTTGACCAGAGCCCTATATAGGCGCTGATCAATTGGTGCACTAAGGAATAGGGTGCCATTTGGGATGCACAGAACATATTTCTGAAACACTTAAAGGGGTTGTGAATATGTATTTGATTTGAAAAATAGGATTCAAATGCTTTTTGTTTTATTTTAGCTCAGTCATACATGGTGTAAGTAGGTTGATGCTTTTTCAGGATGTTCACCTACAGTATTGCTAACTGATTAGCTACTCCTTTCAGATTTTTTTTTGACTCGTAGAACCAAAGATATAGGTTGTGTCCCAAATGGCACCCTATTCCCTATATTGTGCACTACTTTTGACCAGAACACAATTGGCCCTGGTCAAAAGTAGAGCACTACATAGGGAATAGGATGCCATTTGGGTAACAACCACAGGAGAGCTTAACAACCCTAAGTATATGAGATGAGCCCAAAGTGTATGTTCCATGTGTACAATAAAGAGACTTGGGTGCAGTGTGCACTCAGGTTACTGTTCCCATTGACTGATGGAAAATTTCAACTTGGCTTTAAAAATATGCATCCTTTGGTCAAAAGTAGTGCACTATTTCGGGAATAGGGTGCCATTTGGGGTGCACTTTGTTTTTCTGTGGTGCAGTATGATAAAGTTGCATTGTGAATGTGTGGTGAATTCTATAAAGATTGGTAACCTCTAATTGTGACACCCATTAACATGCCTTTTATAAAGTTGTATTCTTTAAGCAATAAAGTTAACATCTTTTATAGTGACCAATTGGTTCCTGTCATGTGTTTTGGAGTTATTTACAGTCCTTTCCTCATTTTTAGGTGTTTTTGTACTGTGTATGTTAGCCTCAGTTTTATACATCATCATCATGAACCAAAGCTGCATATTTAATTTTTTACCTTGACCAACAAGTCATATAATATGCAATTATGTTTTTATGATACATTTCATCCATATGTAAATCCAATATTTACACTTTTTGGTACAACTGTAATATATTGACAGTGACATGTAGCTCAGGGGGGGGGGGGGGGGGGGGGAACAAACGAGGTCAAATCATGACGTCATTGATCTTCAGGTTGGAAAGTCGGAGCTCTATAAAGATGCCAGAGTTTCTGACTTGGAATTTTGAGTTGGATGACCGTTCAAAACGATTTTTCCCGGTCTAAGCTTCTTTTTTTCCGAGATCCCAGTTGTCTTGAACGCACTGAAGTTGGAAGTCGGAGATTTCCGAGTTCCCAGTTTTGAACGCAGCATCTGATTTTGGTTGTGTTCCCCTGCTCAGATGTTGCATGTATCAACCAATGGTTGCGTGCCACGTCATCAACTGTACTGTCAGTCATAAAATAGTATAACATATGTGGTTAGCTGATACGGAGAATACCTATCCAGGCGTTGTAAGACCTGGCATGCGTCAGCAACGCTTGGTCATAGGAACATGCCCTTGATCTTCCTGACAGTGATTTTCCTTTTGCAAGAAGGACCAGCCAGGTCTCATAGACTAGACTTAACATAGTAAACAGAAATCCGGGACACTCAAATTACACTGAACAAAAATATAAACGCAACATGTAAAATGTTGGTCCCATGTTTAATGAGCTGAAATAAAAGATCCCAAAAGCTTATTTCTCTCAAATTTTGTGCACACATTTGTTTACATCCCTGTTAGTGAGCATTTCTCCTTTGCCAAGATAATCCATCCACCTGATAATAATAATAATAATAACATGCCATTTAGCAGACGCTTTTATCCAAAGCGACTTACAGTCATGCGTGCATACATTTTTTTTTTGTATATGGGTGGTCCTGGGGTTCGACCCCACTACCTTGGCGTTACAAGCGCCGTGCTCTACCAGCTGAGCTACAGAGGACCACTAGGTGTGGCATATCAAGAAGCTGATTAAACAGCATGACTATTACACAGGTGCACCTTGTGCTGGGGAAAATAAAAGGCCACTCTAAAATGTGCAGTTTTGTCACACAACACAATGACACAGATGTCTCAAGTTTTGAGGGAGCGTGCAATTGTAATGCTGACTGCAGGAATGTCCACCAGATCTGTTGCCAGAGAATTGAATGTTAATTTCTCTACCATAAGCCACCTCCACGTCGTTTTAGAGAATTTGACAGTATATCCAACCTGCCTCACAACCACAGACCACATGTAACCATGCCAGCCCAGGACGTATACATCCGGCTACTTCACCTGCGGGATTGTCTGAGACTAACCACCTGGACAGCTGATGAAACTGGGTTTGCACAACCTAAGAATTTCTGCACAAACTGTCAGAAACCGTCTCAGGGAAGCTCATCTGTGTGCTCCTCATCCTCACCAGGGTCTTGACCTGACTGCAGTTTGGCATTGTAACTGACTTCAGTGGGCAAATGCTCACCTTCAATGGTAACTGGCACGCTGGAGAAGTGTGCTCTTCATGGATGAATCCCTGTTTCAACTGTACCAGGCAGATGGCAGACAGTGTGTATGGCATCGTGTGGGCTAGCGGTTTGCTGATGTCAATGTTGTGAACAGAGTGCCCCATGGTGGCGGTGGGGTTAAGGTATGGGCAGGCACAAGCTACGGACAACGAACAGAAGTGCCCCATGGTGGCGGTGGGGTTATTGTATGGGTCAGCATAAGTTTACGGACAACAAACACAATTGCATTTTATCGATGACAATTTGAATGCACAGAGATACCATGACGAGATCCAGAGGCCCACTGTCGTGCCATTCATCCGCCGCCATCACCTCATGTTTCAGCATGATAATGCACGGCCCCCTGTCGCAAGGATCTGTTCACAATTTCTGGAAGCTGAAAATGTCCCAGTTCTTCCATGGTCTGCATACTCACCAGGCATGTCACCCATTGAGCATGTTTGGGATGCTCTGGATCGATGTGTACGACAGCATGTTCCAGTTCCCACCAATATCCAGCAACTTCGCACAGCCTTTGAAGAGGAGTGGGACAACATTCCACAGGCCACAATCAACAGCCTGATCAACTCTATGTGAAGAAGATGTGTCACGCTGCATGAGGCAAAATGGTGGTCACACCAGATACTGACTAGTTTTTTGATCCACGCCCCTACCGTTTTTTTAAAGGTATCTGTGACCAACAGATGCATATCTGTATTCCCAGTCATATGAAATCCATAGATTAGGGGGCCTAATGAATTTATTTCAATTGACTGATTTCCTTATACTGTAAAAGGCTCTGCATGGTCAATTCAATGTCTGCACTGGCCGTATACCATTTACTACGATGCTGCCGCTGCAGAAGTCAGAGCAAACATACTTGCATGTTCGAATCTCATCACGGACAACTTTAGCATTTTAGCTAATTAGCAACTTTGCAACTACTCACTACTTTGAAACTACTTAGCATGTTAGCTAACCCTAACCCTTTAACCTAACTCCTAACCTTAAACCCTAACCCCCTAGCCTAGCTAACGTTAGCCACTTCGTTAGCGTTAGCCACCTAGCCAACGTTAACCACAACAATTTGAAATTGGTAACATATCATACATTTATAAAATTCGGAACATATTGTACAATTGCAATTCGGAACATTTTGTACAGAATTCTATGGGGGATTTATTATTTTTATAATTGATGGGATGACTAACTTAGAAAGAATGCATTCTAGACTGGGCTGATGTAGGTTGTGTCACCTGGCAAGCTGTGATTGATGTGAAGAGCTGTTTTAGGTTTTAAGATAAGATAATAATTTATGTCTCCAAAGCTAGACTATACTGGTTCTTTGTGATCTGTGAACCATCCTTGGACGTAGGAATGGTGTCTAGGGGAGCTGGCTCTTCTCACTATGACAGGTTGTTATGATAAACGTATGCCTGGTAACAGAAGAGGCGGGGAACAGCCGGTGCGCCAACGGATAGGCTGAGTAAGTCTAAACCACGCTCAAGTCTCTACTCTGATTGGCCAGCAGAGAGGTGGGAAACTCTCTCTCTGTAAGAGTATTTGAAGAACAATCTGAAACAATGGATTTAGTTCTCTGAAGTGCCCTGCAAGGTATTTCAAGGAGCCCGTATATACGAAACATCATATTTACCATTGAAGGTTTTTGCATTAATTAAAATAACTAGTATATCTTAGAAGTCGTGTTGACCTCTTTTGTTCCTAATGCCAGATTTGAATTGACGCAACTTTGACAATTCCAATTCGTAATATATCATACGAATAGTAATCCGTAACATATTATACGAAACTCTTGATGGACATCCACAAATTAATACATAGGCCTACCATACGAAATGTAACAT